CATTCGACATGTTACTGGGCATGTACTACCTCGAAGTCTCGCAACCACAATTTGATTGGGATAGAAAGGTGTTGATACACAAGTTGCCAAATGGTAGAACCGTTAGGCTGCAAAAGTACAAGGCTAGCAGTCTAGTGGAGAACTACGGCTGGATGTGCGCTTCGTCTTTCTATAACTACTACAAGCAGAATCGCGAGGAGGGCATGTACCTAGTGTTTGTCTCTGAAAAGGGGGAGGCCGTTAAATCACCCCCAGAGATAAAACAAGTCGTCGCTCAATATTCAGACCTTTTTTAGGAGCCCACAGGCGTGGTGAAAAGGGAGATTGTCCATGCAATAGAGGTGATCCCAGGTAGTAAGGTGCCTAGAGGACGAATCTATAGGATGTCTCCTGTGAAGTTAGATGAGCTTCGCCGCCAGCTCAAGGAGCTCACAGAGAAGGGATGGATACGGCCTAGTACCTCCCCTTACGGTGCGACAGTCCTATTTGTTCCTAAGAAGGGAGGTCCATTAAGGATATGCATTGACTATAGGGGCCTCAATGCCATCACCGTTAAGAACGGGGAACCCCTACCCCGCATTGACGATCTCTTGGATAGAGTGCAGGGATGTCGGTACTTCACAAAGATAGATCTGAAGTCCGGATACCATCAAGTTGCCGTTAGGCTGGAGGACCAACACAAAACCGCATTTCAGACCAGGTACGGTCTGTACGAGTTTGTGATGATGCCTTTTGGCCTATGCAATGCGCTTGGTATGTTCCAGCACACGATGAATAGGATCTTTCATGACTACTTGGACAAGTTTATCGTCGTGTACCTCGACGATATTCTCATCTTCAGTAGGACTGTAGAGGAGCACGCTGAGCACTTGAAAATAGTGCTAGGTCTCCTAAGACATCACCAGTACAAGGTAAACTTGGATAAATGCGAGTTTGGTCGCACCAAGATCTTGTACTTAGGTCATGAAATTTTAGCAGATGGATTGAGGCCGGAAGATGCAAAAGTGGCCAGCATACGTGACTGACCCAGACCTCAAACTGTTACTGAGGTCAGATCGTTTTTGGGGATGACGGGCTACTATCGTCCGTTTGTGAAAAACTATAGTGCTATAGCTTCCCCATTGACATATCTAACTCAACTTGACACCCCTTGGGAGTGGACTGAGGAGTGTGAAGCAAGCTTCAAGAAATTAAATTATGCTCTGACACACTACGAAGTTCTCAAACTTCCTGATCCTGACAARCCGTTTGTTGTGACCACAGACGCTAGCCAATATGGCATAGGCGCGGTCCTTGCGCAACTGGAAGGGCCCAAGTTGAGACCGATCGAGTATATGAGCAAGAAGATGCCATCTCAAAAGTTGGCTAAGTCCACTTATGAAAGAGAGCTCTACGCCCTGTATCAAGCGCTAGTTCATTGGAGACATTACCTCCTAGGAAGGTTCTTCTACATGAGATCTGACCATGAGACTTTGCGCTGGATCAAGGCACAACCAGTCTTGTCGAACGCACTCAATAGATGGATTCAAGCAGTGCCTGCCCCGTGAACGTGACCGGCACCGGTCACCAACCCGTGATCGGCTGGTCACCGGGCCTAAATCCCGTAAACGTCCATTCACGGGGGCCATTCACGGGGTTTACGCGCGCGAGGGCGGCGGTTCGGTCGGGATGAGGGCGGGAGGGGGGTGGTGCGGGGCCCTTCTACACCCCCGTACCTTCAAATCACAAAAAAAAAAACAAAAAAAAAACAGAACGGGGTGTCTCCTCTAGCGATGCTGGGGGTGGTCGGGCACCTGGCAAAGCATGTGTGGAAGATCGCCCTTTCGGATATCGATGACCATCTCGTTGTGCTGCACCTGCTGTGGGGGGTCGTGACGGCGGTGCAACCATCGTGCTGCCCCATTGATCTGCAGCACACGACGACCCAGCTCCAGGATGCTCCAACCTATCTCCCTTCCGTACCCAGCCTGCTGCGTCCGCAAACATCTCTGCCAACCTCCCCTCACGAGCCCTCCTCTCCCCCGTGACCCCAGGCATAGCATCCTTGAGTTTGCGGGTGACCCTGCTGATGCCGCTCCACGATACAGACTTCCCCTTCACCTTTGATGAAGGTGATGGAGAACCCTGCACTTGCCCGCGCCCTCCTGCCGTCGCCGGCGCAGCAGAACCCTCTCCCCAACCAACACTCCAACCCGAAAGGCCCGACCATCCGCCGACAACTTCGGGACCACCTCCCCCGCCGACAACAGTGCCACCAGACTCACCTCCCCGTCCACTCACCGCCCCTGCACATGCCGGTCGTGTCCCTGCAGCAACTGGCCCTTCTCCCCATGATACCCCTCCCGGCTCGATAACCCTCTGACCTGTCAACTGCTCGAACAAGTCGGCCATCTCCATAGTCTTCCCAATATCCCCCGATACCCCCGAGGGTGCTGGCGGACTAACAAGCACGAAAGAAAATGGAGGCACAGCCTTCCAAAGCCTCTTCGATATATGCCTGCTCCTGTCCATCACTGGATCAATCCCAGCAGTGTGGCGCTCGAGTGGGGACATGCTGGGCACGTGTGCCTTTACAGGGTGTGCAACAACGTCAGCGGGGT